GATGTGATTTAAATTCACCAACAGATGGTGACATTTACCTCCATAAAAATAGTCGAAAACTAATATTAACAACATAAATTGATGGGCTATAAACTTTAGCCAATATTATATATTGGCTAAAGTTTATAGCCTATCAATATATATGACCACCAACTGGTCATTTTACCGCTCCTTTTCATTAGAGGTGAATGCATAGGGCGTTAACAAGACATTCAATAAATGTTAATCAGGGCCGCTGGAAAAAAAAAATTCTCCAGTCTAGACAGAGACTGGAGACAGAGATTCCTATCTAATGAGTAGCAGCTTAAGCCTGGCTCACACTACAGGATTTTAAAAATCTTAAAAGAGTTTTAAATCAGCTTGTATCACACACACAACGAGAATCTTCACAGATTATCTTATCTAAAATCTTCATTGCGCACTCACTACAAGATTTGAAAATAACGACCAGCACACACTACAGGATTTCATCAAGATTATCGGACCAGAGAGCGGTGCACCACATAATGTACGTCATCTCACAAGGAAGCGGAAATCAACAGTACATGCCATTCTGTGCAGCGAAAAAGGCAAGAGGAAGAAACGCCATCTCTGGTGTCCCATAGACATAATAAAGAGTCTATTTTTATTTAGTTTATTATGTCTATGCGCTGTCTAACGCGCCCTGCTGCTCTGTTGCTCCTTCGCGGTCACCATTTCCGTCTCGAGGTAATGTTACGTCTGGCCTCTTCTTCTTCGTCTGCTTCTTCGGAAGTGGATGCGGTTGGCATCCACTTCCGGTGTCATCCCGATAAAAATCAAACATGTCTGAAAATTATCGTCGACCTCGACGTGTCTGTGAGCTGATCGTGGAGTTTAAGATTCATCTTTCACCCGCTCACACTAGAAGATAATCTGGGCTGAACATCGGGGCCAGTTAAGGTCCTAGACCCGATTTCTCTGCCTATTGTCGGGAGGGCCGAATCTGGGTCAAATCAGCCCGAGAATCCTGTAGTGTGAGCCAGGCTTTAGGTGTTTGTGCCACAAAGTTTTATTTCAACAACATACCCACCTTCAAGTGAAGCACGAGCTTCCTCTTGTTTTGCCTTTTTTTCTCCTCTTGCTCGCTCCTGACACGTGATGTCTTTTGGACGACATGTAGACAACTCTTCACCTGCTGCAGCTCTGCAAGTGCCTGCCGGCGCACCACTCTGATTGGTCAGATGTGAGTGCTGTCAATCATTGCAGCGACGGATGCGCGGTCAGATTACAGGTCTCTTCTCTCCTTCCTCGAGCTGATTCTATGCGCACCTCACTGTAACGCATATGCGCATCCATTGCGCATATGCACAAATGCGTCCCCTCACACAAAATGTGGCCCCCCATGGAAGATGAGGCCCTACGCACAGCACGTGTTCTGCATTTAGGGAGGGGCAGCCCTGGTGAGGACATTTGAGCTGTTCCTCACTTTTTCAAAAGCCTGTTTGAGAGTTAAGACTTGGTTTTAGGGTTCATGTTAGAATTAGCTTTAGGGCAGGGGTGATGGTTAAGTTAGGGTAAGGGGCAAGGGAATGCATTATGTCAATGACGGTTGTCAAAAAAAAAAAGTACAACCATGTGTGTGTGTGTGTGTGTGTGTGTGTGTGTGTGTGTGTGTGTGTTTGTGGTCAGACCAGTGAAGGGAGTGACATTTCATCAAAGTGCACTCAGTGTTTTCTGAGGAAGAGGGGGTTCACATAGGTGCAGCCATGGATCAATACCACCACCCACCCCTTTCTCATACAGCAATCACTTAGGCACATAGCAGATGGGGCATTGTGTAACATTGTGTGTTTCAAAGTTTGTTCTGAGGGTTCATCTGTTTCTCCACTGACTACAATTTCAACCAGTAGACACAGAAGAATGAAATAAAGATGAAGTTTAATGGGCAATATAAGTCGACAGATTTACAGATGATTTGTGCTGTTAAGATTTAACAAAAGTCTTTTGCACTTAGACACCAGGGGGAGATTATTTGTGATCTGGGTGGCAGCAAGATAAACCCCCCCTATGGAGTCTAGACACTGGTGGAGGTGGTGGTAGTGGATGACTTTGGTTGATGACTGATGAGACGGATAGAGGCTGCATCCGAGAACACTAGGTGGTGATAGGGAAGTGGAGGGTATGCACAGCTGAAGCATGCAACAAAGGACTGCGGACAGATAAAGAACCATATTTTAAATGAGGAGCAGTAAGATGATATGCTGACGGAGAGATCGATTGACAGCCCCGAATACTGACAGCCAGAGACTGACATGAGCATGCGTGCAAGGAGTGAATGGCAGGATGAGAACAGCCTGAGCATGAAAAAGTATTATCTCCCTGACTGAACTTTTGCCAGAGCTTCATTTCTGCCAAAACTGATGCCCTGAAACGTCATCTCACCTCAACCACTATGAATGAAATGTGCTACACTGCCACCTACTGAATAAAACGCGTTTGTACGCCATACTACCATATTATTTAGTATACCAGATAAGATTGTCATTGTGCTCTGAGTCTCATACTTTTTCTTTTACTTTTTCTTTTTTTACTTAAGGGTGCTCTCACACCTGCCCGGTTCGGTTCAATTGAACTCAAGTTTGTTTGGCCCCTACGTGCGGTTCATTTGGGCAGGTGTGAACACAGTAGTCGCACTTTGGTGCGCACCAAAACAACCGGACTGAGGCCTTCTTAAAGAGGTAGTCTTGGTCCGGATACAAAGGAACTCTGGTGCAGTTCGTTCGTAGTGAGAACATGTTCTAACCTCGATCTGAACCAACTGCAGTCACATGACACATTGTTTGGGTTAAACATGAGCATGCTACAGTCCTGGAGGATTATTAATGTGCGCCTCCTCCTGTACTGCCTTAATATGCACATTCAGCACATCCAATGCATCAAAACATTGTTTTCTAGTTGGAGCCGCGCCTCGTTTTCAAACTGTATGGTTTGACTAAAATGAACAATGACAGCAATATAGTCCACGATGAACAGCGCTAAAATCAACCTGCGTTGTTGTCCGTCCATTGTGACATTAGAAAGTGTCACATTTATCTTGCATTTATCTTCTTCAATGTTTTGTTCACTTCCTGGATTTTTTCTACATGGAAATTTGACCCATAAAGGCATTTTATCTGGTCTGACTATCTGGTTTAAATGCTGCCATTAGAAGGCAAACCAACTTTTAGGCAATTATGCAACTGTTAAACAAAATTAGTCCCTGATTCAGACCAAGCAAGCGAACTGTAGGTCTGAAAGAACCCTTAGTAAAAGTAAATATATCACAGTCTAAAAATACTTGATTACAAGAATAGGTCCTGCATTCAAATTGTTATATAATTAAAAGTTTAGAAGTATTATCAGCAAAATGTACTTAAAGTATAAAAAGTAAAAAGTACTCTTGCAGAATGGCACCTTTCAAAATATCATAACCACAGGAAGATTATTTCTATAAACGAGTATGGTAAAATATGTGATTCTGTTTGCATATAAAAGTATTTTAATGTCGTAATTTTTCAGTGTGGAGCCAATTTTAGATACTTTGTGTACTACTGGGTAGATAAGTAGTGAAGTAGTAAATTTAATAGTAGTACATGTAATGGAGTAAAACATACAGTATGGCAAAGGTAGAGCTGTTTGAAGCTTTGAATGGGTCGTTTGGGTTCTGGACAGTGGCATAGTGGTTAACGAGGTGTGCACTATGGGGTAGATGGGTAGGTTACCAAAGGGGAGGAGGTTAGACTGTCCTATATATTCCATTGACTTTTTGACTGATAGATGGGTATACTGTGAACAGAGAAAAAGAAGTGGGTATACCCTGTATACTTGCATATATCCTTAACTACAACACTGGTTCTGGAGGTGTGGTCACAGTGTTTGCACAGGCTTTACATAGCCTGTGGTGGTGGGGCCTAGTGTTCTATCTTTACATGGGGCCCAGAACCCCTGGTAGCGCCCCTGATTATGTCACTTATTTTCAATCACAATAGGAATTATTATTATTTTAATGAAATATTGACGAACAATGTGTCAGCCAGGTGCTTAACAAACAAAAAGTGCACCACCCTCTTTACTGACATTACTCCTTCAAATAAAAGCACCAGCCTTTACCATTTACAGTTTGGTCAACAAATTATCAGTGTATCAGCCCAATCATGCTAATAACAACCATGAGGCAAAATAGTGTCAATTTATTACTCACTGACTCTCTCTTCTTCCCACTTTTCAGTTCTCTCCTTGTGAGACTCAGAATCTTTATTGGTCCATCTATTCATAAATACAGTTTTGTTTTTGAGTGCCCCCTCCAGTAAATTATAAATGATCTCTCAGACGCCTCATGTGTAGACTTAATCAGTACTTTATTTAAGTTTACAGTAGACCTTAGTGACAGTAGAAAGTATTGATCAAAAATCACCACCCAGAGAAAGTATTAAATGTATTAATTCACACACACAGATTAACATTTCATGCCACATCATAACAAAATAAGAGCAAATTTCTATAATATGAAGATGTGCTGAATATAGGGATAATTAATTAAGAACTGTCATCTAAATGTGCTAAGTCAAATGTGTTTGGCACTGTGTTTAATTCGGGCTTTGCTGTGATTATCCAATGACAAATCAGCCAAATTACTTTTACATTAATATGCACCATGTTTGTTTTCCCTTCTACAGCACATGCAAATTGTCACATTTTGTTTGTGGATGATACATGTGTTTATACCGTAACTTGTCAATGCAGCAGCTTCACTTTATGTATTCAACTTCTGTAAGTGAGGGAAATTGTTTTTATAAAAAGTGTAAAACAAGGACAGAAAGAAACATCTCCTTCATGGAACACAGGATCACTGAAGCACTGTCTCTTTCTGTGGTTACAGGAACCTCCTGTCCTCCATGAAACTGAGCTTACTTTGTTCTGAGTGACAAGTACTTGTTTTTCACACGAGATGAAAGAGACACAGTTCACTTAAAAGTTTTGTCCTCTAGTACTCTCCTATTTTTCTAACATACAGATACAGAGCATGCAGTAAATCAAGCAAAACATAGGTACCTACATTTATTTATACTTCATTATGACAGTGAGTCATAAGGCACAGTTTACTTCTAAAGTGTTACAATCTTAATGCAAAATAATATTTTTCCCCACAGTAACTGAGTTTGATAAGAGACCCTGTATATTCACCGACATACTAAGAAGATCTAAGATGTAAATTATGACTTAAAACCACATTTTCCCCACAGTTAAATCAGTTAGGTTATATAAAAATCACAGATCAATATAAAATGATCACATGCAGTAGCTTCCTTCCACCATAGTACCAGTTAAAAACAAAGCATGCAGATTTTCCCTTTCTCATTTTTGTTACTTGAATTTGGCCAACAGCTGAGGAGGTCACACCTTCTGACATTCAAATGGCCACACTATTTTCTACCACAGCTGGATCCATGTATGTGTATGGCACCTCCAGACTCTTGTTTCTGATTTTGATGCGTGCGCTTAACGCTTGAAGCTCTCCTTGAAAAGCTGTTACATGGCTGGAGGGAATCTCCTCACTGTGATGGTCCTCCAGGGACTCGCCAAGACCGACCTGATGAAATAAATGATTAAATACATTTTATCAATAACATTTAAATGTTGTCAAGCATATACTATTGGCACTATAATGTACAGCTGTAAGTAGTGAGCAGGACTGTTTTTCTCATTGACTGGAAGAACCTTAACCTTTCTACAAAACTAGAAGAAAATTTTGATTGATGTCATTCAAATTTCATCAAGTTTTGTTTACTTACAAAGTCAAAGGATGGTTTGCTGAGTAACCATATGGAAGCCATTGCATTGGCTGTTGTGCCCATGTCAGGTAATGTGTGCAGCATCGTGGCCTCGCTTGTTGTCCCCTTTTTGGTTGGTGGAGGAAGCTGCAGGCTGGTGGGAGTGTTGGGCATCCAGCCTCCATAGTCATACTGCAATGATTGAATGATTGGCAGATAACTGATTAAGACTCACTCACAGCATAGCACTGGTATCATGGTGATACAATTATTGTTCAAAATGTGCTTTAAAAGCTGCATGTTTTAACCATGTTTGTGGCGTGTATTTCGACAACTCCAGGATGTGTTGCCATGAAATTTGGATTGGAACCAAAATTTGTACAAACATTCATGGTTCCCAGAGGATGAATCTCAATGACTTAAGTGATCTCCTGACTTTTCCTCTAGCGCCACCATGAGGTTAACATTTGTGATTTTTAGCCAAATGTCATGACAACTTTCTGCATGTGCCCATGTGTACATTTATCTATTTATTTTAGGATTTTGTACAGTTGGGAGTTCTGGATTAGCAGAGCCAGCCAATCATCTCCCATTCTTCTGCCAATCACAGTAATGCATGGCACATGGATGGTCAATGCTGGCTGGTGCAGCAGAGGAAGGGGGGGCAGGTGTGGCTTTAATCTCTGTTGTTGTTGAGTGAGAGCGCTGTTTTCTATGAGACACTGTGACACGCCTGTAAGTTTTCTCTGCACTGCTTTAAGTGGTTTAATAAACTGATCAATTCAAGAACATTTGTCTCTAACTCATGGTGAAACATTACAGTGAGCGTGTGTATGCAGAACTGTCAATAAATGAATCACAGAATCCAAAGTTTCCAGCTCTCTGGACATGAGTTTACTTTTAGCTGAAGACAAGTTCACCCATTCAACCTTCAGTGGCTTATATAGCTTTATTTGTTTAGCTGAAAGCAACTACAGTTATGGTACAGTATACAGTAATGTATACAGTTATGATTAAATTATATTGACCATGATGGCTGGCTGTTTGGCTGTATAGACCCTTGTTTATGTCATCCATCTCTCTCCAGTCCAGAAAAAAAAACTGCAGACGTCATGAACCGATTCTACAGTAATAGCAACATTATAATTAATCATCCCGGTAAATTAAAAGGCTTCACCTGTCCAGTGTTCACAGCAGAGTGTTGTGCTGAGCAAGTGAAGATCACCATGGTGACAAACTTGACCAACTCTGCCACGGTGGTAAAGCTCTGTGGAATTCCTGAGAATTAGAGGAAATAAACTGCATGAATTAAAGTTGCCTAGATGATTTAAGTTTGAGTTATCTTTGCAATATGAGCATGTTATATAAAATATTAATGTGCACATCTCTCATCATTAATATTGAGCTTTTCTTTTAAGCCCACCTGTGCCTTCTTGGGAAAGGAATCCGTGTTCAAAAATGTCCCCAATCCACCTCTGTAGTTCGTCGTCTTCCTGGACCTCATCATCATGCTTGTAGTAGAAGCCGAGCACTCCCTGCACAAACCTTTGAGGAATATGAATAAGTTCTGTAAAATACATTCCTAGTTGATATTTTTCAGAAATACTGCAGTAGTAAAGCATAACTCTTTTGTGAGGCAATTTAATGTCCATCTCTTTAGTACGATCAGTTCTGTTCTTTTTAAGAATTTGGTGCAATATATGACAATGTTTGTTGAGAGTTAGATAAGAAGATCGATACACCTCTCATATTTGTGCATTAAATATAAAGCTACAGCTGGGTGGCAATTAGCTTAGCTTAGCATAAAGACTACAAGTGGAGGGAAGTGATTAGCCTGGCTGGCTTCAGAGTTCAAATAGATGCCTACTAGCACCTCTAAATTTTAGTAATTGTAAGAACAAAAGCTAGCTCACAGGGCTCTAGGGAGGATAAGGATATCAGGATATTTGGAAACCATGTTGTGTATAATCACTTGTTCAAAACCGCAAATTGTCTTTGCATAAACAATATGTATTGTATCCCTAATTCTAACAGCCGCGCTGTACAGTAAATTGTTTGACGTGCATTTCCAGTATACTGGGGGGAAAAAAACAGCCTCGGTCAACTGTAAGTCATCTCCTGATCAGTAGTTGCAAAATCAATCTAGGCTCTCTCTATAGGATGGCCCAGCAGCACGGCATTATTTACAAGAGCACAAAGCACAATTTGGGGAAGAACTAAATAAAATAAAATCTCTAATCCTACATTTGTATTCTCAGGGTGCTTTCCTGGTAAAGACGTCCTCTCCCTGCTGGAGCAATCTCTTTAACACAGATCTGATGCCTCTGTGCATTTTTTTTTTTACTTTGGTGTACTTCATGGCCTTTAAATGCACTCTAACTAAGCCTGATATGGTGTAAGTTTTTTGTAGTGTCTAGCATGGCAGCTACCCTTCACTCATATGTCCATGATTTTGTACCAGTAATATATATTCATTAAGAGAATGCAAAATCAAAAGTGACTGTAATACCTGTGGATGATATCCCAAAGCTTGAGTCCATCATCCCTGTAGTAGAAGTTCGGCACGTCCTCCAGCCCACGCTCAGCAATGTCTTCTGGTATGCAGAGAGAGTTGTAGGTCACTGAGGACAGTGATTTCTTCAGGATTGTCACCATACCCTCTCCACCAGTGGCTGCAAACTAGCAGACAGTCAAATATGTCAGGAGTATAGTTAGAGACAAATACTGTACATGATATTGATGAAAAAAAAAGATTGTTTATGTCTACTGAGTACATCTGTCTTTTTGTACCTTTGTGAAAACTCCAGTCTCGGATATCAAACGATCTCTCGCCAAGAAGTTGATATGCAGAGTGTAGCGGGTGTGAGCTGCGAGGACCTGAGAGAATGAGGGAACTCTGTTAGTAACACTATTACATGTTAACCAAGTCAGTAATCTTGATGCTTCTATACCATTTAACAGTGAGAAATAGTTACACACACTAAAACATTTTGATTCTTCAACTTTGGATGATACAAAAATCAGCAACTGGGAAAAACTACAACATAGAAAACTACAACTACAGTAGGTTCAGTATTCTCCCCTCAGTTACCTTGTACAGTGGATGTGTCCTGGGCACGTTGCGCAGCAGTGACACTGCAAACACTTCAGCCAGCAGATGAGTGCGCAGCAGGTGGACATTGACTTGATGCTCGTTGAAATCTGCACTTCTCACAAAAATCTTGGCCGTCAACCAGTCGTACTCAGAATCAGTAGGAAGGAAGATGGGGTTGTCTTCTGCTGGAGTCTGCTTCAGCTGCAGGAGAAGGAAGGAGGTGTGGTTCACTTGCATAGATCATAGTATCTTGCTTTAAGAACACTTAGGGAAAGTTTAACCTGAATAGCAACTGGCATCAGCTCATCATCAGGTGTTTTGTGGAGCAGGACGAGGGGAGCCATCAAGTACTGTTGCTTCCCATGGATGGTGTTTGCTTTCACTCCCTCCAAACGCTTGTAGTCACACAGGAATATGTTGCCATTCTGTTGTGGTGAGGAAATCATTTTACTCACATGCATACAGTGTGGACGTTACATATACTGACTAAACATGTAGTGCTACATGCATTCCCAAATGTAAAGCATCATGTGGCAAAACATGATCTTTTCTATTGCTAAGATCTATCAACGTCATGACAATCACCTCCATTTCATTTTCCAAGCTGAACTGACCGCTGGGGAAGACCATGTCGTCAGTGACAGGAAAGTTATCAGGCAGAGCTGAACAGCGTCGGATCAACATGGGGTTGACGCCATTTAGAAACTGGTAGGCAAAAAGAACGTCCTCCTTCCAGTGTTCCTGGACATAGTCTGGAAAAAGAACAAGAGAGTTGAACTTCATTGAGTTTCAAGCTAGAAAATCATGGTGTTATCAGCTTAACTGTACCTGTACACTACATGTGAAAGTTAAAGTGAATCAGACATGATCTTGATTATATCCAATTCAATACAATTACTCATCAATAAAAAACTGAAAAAATAATAGTAAACTACAAAAGGCATGGACGCTTACAGTTGCCTCTCTGTCAGCTCCACTAAATTTGTGTCAAATTTGGGCTCTTTTTTCACTTTGCTTGTCTTGATGGTGCTTTTTGTGGTTGGCTTTGGATGGTGGCAGCATGTGGCTGCGAGTCACTCATCAGGACGAGGAAATCAAATCACTGGTATGTAAATTCTCCTCCTGCTGACTTCTGTTTGCCAGCTGCTAGCTAGCCTGGTCAAGGTTTTCAAATGTAAATATCAGTAAACATCAAGGAAAAATAAGGAAGAATGAGCACCAGCTGAAATGGCATCCTGCTAGCTTGACAAATGTTGGAAATAAACTGGATGACCTCTGTGCCAAGTCTTTATTTTTATTTATTTTCAGATTAATCAGTCATTATGTTATTATGGTGCCTCTACGGGGGGCATGGGGGACAAAAAATAGATAGGTAACAGATAAATATAATGGGGGAGAAACAAATAAATTTGTGTTCTCCAGGGAAACTTCTGAATACTCTCACAAAACTTTTGCATTCTCCTGAGAAATATTTTGAGTCTCCATGTGCACCTGTTGCAGCAGTGCAACCTGCAAAGGGCTATGTGTAGGTGAAAATAGCCTTGATCAGCATGTGTGGTAGATATTAAATACCCTCTCAGCCAGTCTCATCACTGATCTCATAGTTTTTAAACAGCTGTACCACACACAACCATTTGCTGTTGACCTCCACTAAACCACCCTAAAAATGACACCAGGCAGCTACAATACAGACCTCTACACACATCAAACTGGTAGGTCGTAACTCGATATTCTGCTTTTCTACGACTGAGATGTTCGGTTACCCGGGCTCATCTTTATCATCTCTCTTTGTAAAAGTAGTGTCTCATGTCTTATCCTTGAAACGCATTGCAATGCAAACACTGTTGTGTAACGCTTATCACTAAATTATGTGACCATGTATGAGGTGAGAGCAATGTCCGATCTGTTAGAGACCGCACCGTGGATGAGGGGTACGTCTGGGGTATTGGCATGTCCAACAGATGCTCAGTTGAATTGGGATCTGGGGATTTTGGAGGCCATGTCGATGTCTTGAGCTCTCCATCATGTTCCTTGGGTCACACCTGAGCAGTTTTTGCGGTGTGGCATGGCACATTGTCCTGCTGGGGGGGCACTGTCATCTGGGAGTGTTGTTGCCATGTGGAGGTTTGCTTGAGCTAAAAAAAGTGTTTGGGTGAGTGGAGCATGTCAAGAAGCATCCACATATATGCCAGGCCCCAAAGTTTCCCAGCAGAACAATGCATTGTAACAGGATAATCAATGTTATTCATTTCACCTGTCAGTGATTTCAGTGTTTTGGCTGATCGGTGTATGCTGCTGTATTTCCCTCCTTGCTTACTTCTGGTTTTATCAAACTTTTCAACCCAGTGCTTTCCTATGGATTGTGTGACGAAAATTTGATCTAGGTTAATGTTGCGGTCTCTGATCATAGGACAATGCTCTTCCATGTTCCACTCCTCTCCCCCTGACCCATATCCACCACACCAGGGGTCGCGTTAACCGGATATTCTTGGTCATTGACCGGTTTTTTATAGCAATGACCGGAAAATCTGAAGGCCGTCGGTCATTTGACCGGTTGCAATTACCACCCCTGCCCACTTGGCAGCGGAGTGCACAGTCAGTGGTTTAAGTGGCTGCCGTTTTCACACTGCAGAGAAATAGTCATTAATCTGCTTCATGTAGCACACCCTGCGTTCCAAATCGCATACTTCTACTATATACTTTTAGTATGTACTGCAGCTGCCCTTAAAAAGTATGTAGTGTAGTATGCAGTATGCATGCTATTGGGACACACTACATCCGCTCCCTGAACCTCGACCCTCTTGCTCACTTCCGCCGCCGTCCATAGCGCCACATTTGAATATTTTGTGTTGTTGTACTTCGGAGATGCAGCAAATCTCCTCTCGTCAAGCTCGCCNGTTTGATGGGACATACATAGTCACATAGATAAACAGATGTATGACAGAATTTGAGGACTTTACCCAGCAACTGCAGTGAGCTTAAACTCTGCATCCTTGATGAAGGAGAACTGGACCTCAGAAGGCAGATCAGAGAGGTCTTCTGCCTTCATGCAGTGGGGTATTCCCTTTGCATGCTCATGCCAGCTGGGAAAATTAAGAAGAGCAGAGTGGTGAGGAACAAAACACAGTCGAGATATCTGCGTGTGCTGTTTTAGGTCAGAGTATACAAGCAGTACTTTACACATTCATGTAATTAACATTGCAATTCTGCAACTTATAGTATAATAGAGTTGAATATACCCTGGCAGGTGTAACAACATTTTATATGGCAGTTAGTTTATCATTATAGGTCATGAATATAATCAACCAAAGGTGGTCGACGTTTGGATGCACGTTAGTTTTGGGTTGTATAAAGTTAAAATGTGAATAAGCTCTGAGCACTCACCGATAGTCTCTCTCTCGCTGATTCCGGTCTGGCAGCGTTCTGAACCATTTGGGAAAATATGCAGATTGTGCTTCAAATGTAGCTAGAAAAAAACACAACAAGGTTTAAAATTCTTTGTACAGTATGTTGGAATTAATTTACTCCAGTCCAAGCAGTCCAGTTTGCAACTTCTGTCTGTCTTTTATGTTATCTGTGATCAGTGAACACCACTTACCCATGCGAGTCTCCTCAAATTCCACACTTTTTTGTTGAAAAATCATTTTGTCTAGCTCAAATACAAAAAGAAGCAAAAAACAATTATGAGATATACAGAAAAAATTAAGTATTATGTGCTCACATACATATAAGCATACAAGCACACTATTGAAGCAATATAGGTGTAACACTCAAGGAACATGGAGAGTGTTTAACAGCATAATTAAAGCGAGCACTGGGACAAGTCAGATTATTTTGTTACGACCACAATGCGATTATAAATAAAGCAAAAGAAATTGCCTGTAAATATATTGATTATTTTGTAAACATTAGATACAATTTAGCAAAAAATGAAAATGGTGTGGTAAGTTATTGCTCATAATTACGTCTACATCTTTATTCTGTGTGTAGATGAAAAGGAAATACTTGACTTTAAAAACATATGTTTTAAAAAGTCCACTGATCGGTAGTAAAGAAAAATATTATAAATTGCAATGAATCCACTGGCACATAAATCCCACAAATTTAAAAATCAATAAATTATATTAAAACAGAGTATCCACCCATCCACTTTAAAAAATAAATGACTGAGAATTATAATTGATCAGAGATATGTTGCAATCCACCCAAAAATAATGTAAAAACAAAAATGTCTCAAACCACTGCAATATATGTATATCTTGAATAATAACTCATTATATATAATCTATGGTTCTGTCATAGTTAAATACATTACCTACTGTGTGGATGTATGGGCAAACACATACAAAACCAACACTAATTCAATGATATTGTATATTTTAGATGTTTTTTTTATAATATTTGTTTTTATATATTTTTTTTTTCTATATTTGATGTATAGTTGTATATTTTTTTGTATATTGTATATTCTGTATATTCCACTTCTTGCCTAAATTTGAGTACATTGAGAGAAAGTCAAATTCCTTGTATGCACACACTTGGTGAATAAAGCTGAGTCTGATTCTGATACAGAGGAAAGCGATGAGGATACTAAATTATTTTACAATTCATCAAATGCACTAATTATTAACCTACATGCTTTAAAATGTTGTGAACTAGTAATTTACAAAGCAAAAAATCTGTTGCTTCCTAACTGCTTTCCAATGGTGATTTGAAATTTAAGGGAATGGGTATGTAAAAAAAAAAAAAAAAAAAAAAAAAAACAAGGACAAATTTAATATCTGTCAAAAGGGTTAACTTAGGGAATGATTGTGACAGGGAATAAGATGGCAAATATATAAAATGGAGGTACGATTTTTATTGTTGTGTGTGAGATGTGCAGAACTTTGTGTTTATTCTGTTGTGTTTTTGTATAGCCTAAATCTAGTTGTGAAAGTGTTGCTTATTGTTTTTAATACAGTATGTAAGAAGGGTAAGTTTAATTAACTGAGGCTACATCTTTTCTGTCAATATGTTTTGTTTACCTATTAATTTTATCACTTTATTGTCATTATTATTATTTTATGTACATTATTTTTGGAAAATTGTTACTAGAGTCTTAAATAAATTACTACCAATACTAAAAAGATAAATGCTGTGTTTGAGAGACCTTAAAGAAAACATGTTGGAATTAATTTACTCCAGCCTCCTTGCAGTCTAGCTTCCAGAACTTGTCTTTTATGTCTTCTGTGGTCAGTGAACAGCGTACAGGATGTCAGACAAGCAAATTTGCACAAACCTGTTCCCTCTCTGAAGCGAGGCACCTCGCTGTCAGTGTTGCGGCAATAGATGTAAAAGTTGTAGGTGTCTCCTCCAGGGGAAGAGAAACCAATGTCTGGATTTCGGATGGGCTGTTTGTCTGGCTCTATCAGGGGCAAATTTTAAATTGAAAAACAAAAGAGGCAGAAAGCAAACACAAGGTGTATAAAAATCTATAAGTATTATGAGATCTAATAAGAAGAAGCATTATAACAGTCTATTGGACCAGTATCAGAGTAACTCTGTGGAGAGTGCTTAAACCAACACTAATCCAATTTTCACATTATAGGAAAACTATAAGAACTATAAAACACTTACCTTTGCGTGTTTCTGTATATTTTTAAACACTTGCCCTCTGTTTTTAACCTATTTTAACCCCACACATGCATCATCATATCAGTTTCTTTAATTCAATTGAAGACTTATTATAGGATCTTTTACCATAGTTCAGAAGATTTATGATTAAACATACTTAATAATCAACTTGTTTATTCATTTATTGACGTGTTCATGGACCTGCTTATCTATTTACTTATCTCATAAATCTCATCGGCAGTCGTCAGGTTATTTCTCCAGAGACCCTGCATGACAGGAGAATCGTTGATAAATAACAGAGTCCCTGTTGCCCCACATGTGCTGTGGCCAAGTGCCCTGAGATTTTATCCAAAATTTTAAATCATTGTAATGTTCATGGGGCTCTTCTAATGCCTGTCGGGACTCCCAAAGGGACATTTTTAGGTATTTCCGTACCACTAGTCCCCAAGAGCCCCTGCCCCTCGGAGCGCTCTTCTCAGAGTGCTGAGTTTACGAGAATGGGACAGATGGAGAGTCACAGTTGCCTTTACCTTTGACCACCAAATTCCAATCAGTTCATCTTTGAGTCTGAGTGGACTTTTTTTTTTTTTAAGATATTTTTATGGGCATTTTTGCCCTTAATTGATAGGATAGTGAAGTGTGAAAGGGGGAGAGAGAGAGAGAGGGAGAGACATGCAGCAAGGGGCCACAGGCTGGGGTCGAACCCGGGCCGCTGCGGCAACAGCCTTGTACATGGGGCGCCTGCTCTAACACTAAGCCACCGATGCCCCGTGGATGTTTTTGCCAAATTTGAAGAAGTTCCTGAGGTGTTCTTGAGATTATGGGCTCTAGTTTCGCAGACCGGGCGAGGCGGGGGTGCAGCGCACCTGCGCTTCGCCAACTGGGTGTGGCCAGGCGGATTTTGCAAGTTTGGCACACCGTGCGCCCTGGCGCAGCTACTCCTCTATCCCACCTCCGTCCCTCCTACCTGCACAAGTCGGAAAGAGTGAGGAGAGGGTTTTACACACATCACACCAATCAAATGAGCCCCTCTCTTCGCCCTTAAATGCGCCGCGCGAAGGTGTAATGAGAGTTTATTCAATTCGCCATGGCAGAAGAGAGCGGCAGCGTCAGACGGCCAAACTTCTCCCAGGAGGAAACTGATGTTTTGGTCCGGGAGGTCCAAGCTCGCAGTGTCCGAATATACGGAACTGCGAGCAGACCTCCACGGGCTGATGATGCAAAGGTAGCCTGGGAGGAGGTCACCACAATTGTAAATCAATATTGCGTTTCTCTCGTGCGCGCACGCTCTCTCTTTCTCTCTCGCAGTCTCACTCTGTTTCTTTTCTTTTGACTTTTCTAAGATGACAGATGCTGAATATATACTCCCTATCTGATGCTGTGGCTGTTTGTGGTTGGCTGAGAGGGATGTGAACTCATTAGTTTGCAGCTGTGTTAATCAAATCAGGTTGGTTTTCCATTACGTGTGCCAAACGTGCCAAATGGTGCCAATCCCCTTTGATCTGACATCAGATGTGATGGGACAGTCGATATTGAGATACATTTATGTGCTGATTGCAGATAGTTGGAATGAATAGTGGTTTTGTGGCTATTTATTGCATCGTTAATGTGCCTTCTGGAAACCTGCCTGTGAGGCTTCGGTGACGTGTGCGCACTGTCTGCCGGTCAGCCAAACTTTGGCTTACACCAGCTGCGCTCCCCCTGCACTGACAGCAGACGTGGTTTCAGCTGGCGAGCTTTTAGCGCACCTTCGGCGAAGCCTTTCGGCACAAACTGTCACTGCGCCAAGCTGGATCTGTCGACACCTCCCCCTGCTGCGCTGCCACACCCATCTCAGCGCACCTCGGTCTGCCAAACTTCCAAACTGAGCGCGCCTCGGGTTGCGCTGCTCGAAACTAGCTCTGCGCGGGGTTCGCCACCCTGCGCTGCGCCGGGAAACTAGAGCCCATTATGTTCACAAAAATAACACAGACAAAGTCACAGTGACCTTGACCTTTGACCTATGACCACCAAAATCTGAACACTTCATCACTGAATCCAAGTTAACATTGGTGCCAAATTTGAAGAAATTCTTTTAAAGCGTTCTTCAGATATAGCGTTCACGAGATGGGGATGGACACATGACCAACCCAAAAACATAAGGCCTCCAGCCATGGCTGCTGCTGACATGGAGGTATATAAAGGCTCAGTATTATAAGCTTCAGCCTACACCTTTTCAGACAGTATTTTTTGTTTCCCTTGTAATTTTAATGCCTTGTTGTTATTTATTCTCTTGTGCATTTATTTTGTTAAATTGTTTATAATAATTGTTGATAATACTGAAATCAATTACTGCCTACTGTAACTACAAAGACAATGCTTTGAATCTTGACGAACACCAGCAAGTTTAAAATACACTGAAATTAATTTACTCCAGCCTCTTCATGGTCCATCTTGTAGATATTGTCTTTCTTCTGTGGTCAGTGAACAGCGTACAGGATGACAGACAAGCAAATTTGCACAAACCTGTTCCCTCTCTGAAGCGGGACACCTCACTGTCAGTGTTGTGGCAATAGATGTAAAAGTTGTAGGTGTCTCCTGCTGGGGAAGAGAAACCAATGTTTGGCTTTCGGATGGGCTGTTTGTCTGGCTCTGTCAGGAACAGATATTCACAACATAGAACACAGAGAGAGTTAAATATGAGATATAAAAATAAATGAGTATTGTGAGATCTTATAAGAGGCAGCATCATCACAAACTACTGAAGCAGTATAAGAGTAACGCTCAAGGAACACCAACCTGTTCTCCTCAAGGAACACCAACCTGTTCTCACTCCAACTCGTCCCAACTTTTTTGTAACGTGTTTCAGGCATCAAATTCGGAATGAGTGTGTGTTTATGAAAAACTAAAAATTATCAGTTTACATGTTAAATATCTTGTCTTTGTACTGTATTCAAATGAATATATAGTCAAAAAAGATTTTCAAATCATTGCATTCTGCTTTCATTTATGTCTTACACAGTGTCCCAACTTCTTTGGAATGGGGTTTGTTAATACTTTAAAATATTGTGGTTTATCTTAAAATTTTCTTGGATATTGTACAAGCACAAAATCATTTGCTTCCTAACTGTATTCAAAGATGCTTTGAAATTAGAGAACTGGAATTGGAATTAATTTACTCCAGCCTGCTGATAGTGCAGCTTGCAGAATGTGTCTTTCCTCTGTGGTCAGTGAACAGCGTGCAAGATGTCAGACAAGCACATTTGCACAAACCTGTTCCCTCTCTGAAGCGAGGCACTTTTCTGTCAGTTTGCCGGCGATCACTGGGAAAGGAGATGCCTTCCTCAGGGGGACGGATCCCCGTGTCCAGTTTTTGGAAGGGCTGCTTGCCTGGCTCTTTTAGGGACAATTGTTAAAAGAAAGAACAACATATATGAAAATAAATGAGTAAGTATTATGAGATCTGGTAAGAAGGAGCATTATCACAAACTATAGGAGCAGTGTAGGAGGAGGTACTGGAAAAGCAGATAATTCAAATTACTTTGTAAAGATAACAATATAAAAATAAATCAATCAAAGAAATTGCCAATAAATGTAATGATTATTTTCTAAATATTGAAAACAATTTAGCAAATGAGATTGTGTAGCTGAGAAATAAGGATGGTGTAGTTGAAGACATTGTCCGTAAAGCCTCCTATTATATCTTCATTAGAGATGTTGATTGATAAGGACAAACATGAAATTATTTAACAATTTAACATCAAAAAGTTCACTGACTGGACTGAAATTAATATGTTGTTAGTAAAAAAATACTAATAATACAGTCAGACCACTGATACATACATTTCACAAATTTAAAAATCAATCAATTGTGTAAAACAGAAAGAATGTCTAAAAATAAATGACAATTGATCATAAAATACGTTGGAAACCATATGTTAATAATGCAAAAAGTCTAAAACTATTGTAATATTGTGTAAAACTAAGGATATCTTGAATCAGGACTCACTAGTTTGAATTTACGGAATCAAGAGTAAAGACAAATAAAAGAACAAATAGATGTATGTCTGTAGGAATGGCACTGAAGCAGCAAGAAATTAAAGATATGTACTTCACTTTGCAAACTTTGAGATGAAAAAAGATTTAAAATAAGGCGGTAAACATATATACATAGATATTGTACAATTATGTAAGTATGAATATAACGTGTCAAAATTAGGCTTCGAATAACATATCAATTATGTGTTATGTTATGACACTTGTTTCATGGCACTTGATGGTTACAGCATACGACACAACACCTCTTTATCCTGTTAAAACAACATTCACAACTTGGATTAATTTTTATGAAAAGCACTTTCGATTCTTTTGATCGGTGGACCCTTATGGACTAAAGAAATATAAATAACTTACCGAGTAATCAAGGAAAAGACACATATTCTGACTTTATGACAGCTACAGAGGGAGAGAGTCACCTCATGTTTTTTGTCATGCTGATAAATCTGAATGATTTACAGACTTCTCTGGTGCTCATGGTTTCAGTAAAATGAACTAAACCGAGCTAACATTTAAACATTTGTATTTGTACGTACGATCTAAGCAGCTAACTCATGTTAGCTCAAGTGGTTCGTGAACATGCTGGATTTATACATCCAAAGAACCAGACCAGGCGTCTAATTGAGACGGGCGGTTATTTGTCAAAATGTGTAGATACACTGAGCTGGTGAAAGGGACTGGGCATTTAATTGGGAATAATCTTTTTAAGTGAAGTTTTACGGTATTTAAAAGACAAAGTACAGTAAGCTTTACCTTCAGCCCACACCTTTTTTTGTTAATGTGGTATTTTTTCTTTTTAATTAAATGCCTTGTTTTTTTGTTTGTTTTTTATGTGCACTCTTTTTGGAAATTGTTATTTTAGAGTTTGAAATATATTACTACCACTACTAAAAAGACAATGCCGTGTTTGAAAGACTCCCCGCCCTTAAAGAAAACATGTTGGCACTAATTTACTCCAGCTGGCTGATAGTGCAGCTTGCAGAACTCGTCTTTCTTTTATGTCTTCTGTGGTCAGTGAACAGCGTACAGGATGTCAGACAAGCAAATTTGCACAAACCTGTTCCCTCAATAAAGCGAGGCACTTTGCTGTCAGTTTGCCGGCGATCACTGGGAAAGTTGGAGGTGCCTTCCTCAGGGGGAGGGATCCCCGTGTCCAGTTTTTGGAAGGGCGGCTTGCCTGGCTCTTTCAGGAACAATTGTTAAAAGAAAGAACAGAGGCAGAAAACAAATATAAGATAAATGAAAATAAATTAATAAGTATTATGAGATCTGGTAGAAGGAGCATTATCACAAACTATTGGAGCAGTGTGGGAGGAGCACACAAGAACACTGACAGTGCTCAACAGCATAATTCAAAAAGGCACTGGAAAAGCAGACAATTCAAATTACTTTGTAACGATAAAAATAAAGAAATCAAAGACATTGCTAATAAATGTAGTGATTATTTTCTACATGTTGAAAACAATTTAAGCAAATGAGATTGTGTAGCTGAGAAATAAGGATGTGTAGCTGAAGATGTTGTTTATAAAGACTCCTGTTATATCTTCATAAGGGGTGTTGACGAATATGGACAAACGTGACACTGTTATAAAAATGAACAATGAAACTCCAGTGATTGGACTGAAATTGATATGTAGAATATATAGAATGTAAAGTGAAACCATTGACACAGACTGTCCAAAAATGTAAAAATTAATAATGTTAACATAAGGAAGACTTTATGGTGTAATAATTGTTCATAAATTATGTTGGAAACCACCAAATAATGTTAAAAAAACAAATCATTTTCAGTGATGGTTTGAAATTACATACAAGCGTAAGATGTATATTCATAAATGGATGGCACTTGTATAGCACCTTTCTAGTCTTCTGACCACTCAAAGCACTTTTTACACTACCTGTCACATTCACTCACTGGTGGCCGAAGCTACCATGCAGGGTGCTGCCTGCTACTCAGATTTTAATCCACTCAGACATTGATGGATCAGCCATTTGAGCAATTTGGGATTCACTGACTTGCTCAACTTTGGCATGCAGACTGGAGGAGCCAGGGATTGAACCTCTGATCTTCCGATTGTTAGACAACCTGCTCTACCTCCTGAGCCAGAGCTGCCCAAAAGCTTTGATTTTTTTTTATTTAACCTGTGCGTTTTGGCTTTGTATTGATGGATATGCAGCCCAGATACCAGATACAGCAGTTGGCTCATTTAGGAATTGTAATATTGCACCTGCAACATTTAATCATTAAATACAGTAATAATCGCTGTGAGTAGGATTTGAACCTACGCAGGGAAACCCCATTGGATTTCGAGTCCAACGCCTTAACCACTCGGCCATCACAGCTCTAGCCATCAAGGGAGCTTACTCATGCAATGGATATGGCAAGGCATGTAGTAATTTTTGTTTTCCTTTTCATTTTAATGTCTTGTTGTTATCTATTCTTTTTTGTGTGCATTATTTTTGGGAAATTGCCAACATGGAACAAAATAAAGTGCTACTCCTGCTGAAAAGGACAATACTGTGTATGAAAGACTCCCAGAGTGTGAAGGAGGAGCTACAACAAGGTTTAAAATTTTAAAATTGTGTGCAGCTTGCAGGACTTGTCTTTCTTTTATCTCTTCTGTGGACAGTAAACAACATACAGGATGTCAGACAAACACATTTCCACAAACCTTTTCCCTCTCTTAAGCGGTACACCTTGCTGTCAGTGATCCATTGGCAGATGAGCAACTTGAAGGTGTCTCCCTCGGGGGATTTCACTTCCACCTTGGTGGGAAACCATTTGTCCGGATTTTGGGAAGGCTGTTTTTCAAGCTCTATCCGGACCAGCTTTCCAATGGAGACAGGGCAGGACACGGTAAAAGTAGACACCTGGAGTAAGGAGAGAAATGGTTTGAAAACATTTATATGAGAGATAAAGTGTATCTGGTAACCAAGAACTGAGCAGTAACCCAGTGCTTAGCATACAATTACTGAATGTAGAAGGGTGGACAAAGTACAACTTGTGCAGTATGCACAGTATGTACACTGCATAAATTACACTTTTGGGGGATTTTTTTTTTGTAGCTCATCTTGGTGGCTGTAGAATTAAGAGTGTTACAGCAGCACAAATGCCGTCATGGCCCATAGGAGTCTGATTTGGTATGAGTTTACATAACCTTTTCTATTTAGTAAGCCTACAATCTTGTATAGGTAAAAATTGAGGATGCGTGTTATACATTTAAACACAGAGAGGGATATGTCAGACTTACTGCTCCTCTGGTGAAGGATGACTCTCCCTTGGAGTCCATGAGCCTCGTGCGTTTGCTCTCACCATCCTTTCCCACCAGCTTAATGAAGACATGGTCACAAGTGCCGGCATCATCCAGATAGGAAGTGGACACGGTCACTTGATAATCAGCCATTTTCACTCTGGAAAACAGAAGAATCCTGGTGGGGCGAGAATAAAGATAACCAATTTCAGCACTGATTGTGTTAACTGTCACTAGATGAAGTGAAAAAAATTAAAATACTGGTATCACAATGAAAAAAGCATCAGCAAAAAGGTATTATAACACCTAATGTCATATTTGTCTTTTCCCACTGATAATGCATCTCTCACCTGTTGAATGAAGAAGAAGTTCCTTTGATGAACTGCTCATTTGATAAAATATTCCTCACTGATTCCTATTTTTATCTACACAGTTTTGTGGGAGTGTCTGATCAATAAAAGTTAACAATTAGCTTTTCTGATGAACTGTAGACATGTTTGAACACTTGCAAACCACAGAGCGATGACAAACCAGTTCTGCCACCGTTACATGTGAGAACATCAGTCACTAAAAATATTAGTTCCAGGTAAATGTTCAAACAACAGCAGAAAACATGTTCACTCATACAATTAATCCAAATTTATCTGATTGTTCGTAATTGTAGCAGCAGACCCATCTCTAGAACAACTGTTAAGAGGAGACTGCGTGAATCAGGCCTTCATGGTCAAATAGCTGCTAGGAAACCACTGCTAAGGAGAGGCAACAAGCAGAAGAGATTTGTTTGGGCCAAGAAACACAAGGAATGGACATTAGACCAGTAGAAATCTGTGCTTTGGTCTGATGAGTCCAAATTTGAGATCTTTGGTTCCAACCGCCGTGTCTTTGTGAGACGCAGAAAAGGTGAACGGATGGATTCCACATGCCTGGTTCCCACTGTGAAGCATGGAGGAGGAGGTGTGATGGTGTGGGGGTGTTTTGCTGGTGACACTGTTGGGGATTTATTCAAAATTGAAGGCACACTGAACCAGCATGGCTACCACAGCATCCTGCAGCGACATGCCATCCCATCCGGTTTGCGTTTAGTTGGACGATCATTTATTTTTCAACAGGACAATGACCCCAAACACACCTCCAGGCTGTGTAAGGGCTATTTGACCAAGAAGGAGAGTGATGGAGTGCTGCGGCAGATGACCTGGCCTCCACAGTCACCGGACCTGAACCCAATCGAGATGGTTTGGGGTGAGCTGGACCGCAGAGTGAAGGCAAAGGGGCCAACAAGTGCTAAACACCTCTGGGAACTCCTTCAAGACTGTTGGAAAACCATTTCAGGTGACTACCTCTTGAAGCTCATGGAGAGAATGCCAAGAGTGTGCAAAGCAGTAATCAGAGCAAAGGGTGGCTATTTTGAAGAAACTAGAATATAAAACATGTTTTCAGTTATTTCACCTTTTTTTGTTAAGTACATAACTCCACATGTGTTCATTCATAGTTTTGATGCCTTCAGTGAGAATCTACAATGTAAATAGTCATGAAAATAAAGAAAACGCATTAATTGAGAAGGTGTGTCCAAACTTTTGGCCTGTACTGTATATATATATATATCTTATCATATATAATTATTTTTATTAGGTTCAATAAAAGAAAACAGAAGAAGACAAAAAAAACAAGGGAAAATAAATTAAAAAGTGATACACACATCACCAGAAGCCAAAATATTTACATATTTACATGCTGTAGTCAGTTCAGTGTGGTCAGTGTAACCAAGTCCAGTCCAGAGGGGTCCACAGTGTCCATGACAGGTTGCCTGAAATTGTTATTTCAAACAGTGGTATCAGTATTTGCCAAAAACAGTGCATCCGATATAAAAGTGTCTTTGAGACTTAAAATCTCTTTTTCAAGAGTGATGTGGCCGAAAGGGCAACACAAACATTGTTACATCAATGAACACAAGCAGACGACTTAAACAGTCACACACCACAAGAGATGTAAGACAAGCTTCAAGATAGCTGTTTGGAAAAAAGTTGCCTTCTCAACTGAAAAGAGTGAAGAAAGGGAAGAATAACAGATATAGGAGATGTAGCTGTGGCTCAGAAGGTAGAGCAGGTCATCCACTCATTGTAAGATGAGCGGTCTGATCCCCAGCTCCCCCAGTCTGCATGTTGAAGTGTCCTCGGCAAGATAGTGAACCCCAAATTGTGTGTGCGTGTGAATGTCTAAACTGATGAGCAGGCCACTAGTGTGCAAATGTGTGTATGAGTGTGACTCGCAGTGTAAAAAGTGCTTTGAGTGCTCGACAGACTAGAAAGGTACTTTACAAGTGCAGTCCATTTACCAGTTAATAAAAGAGTCAAGAGGAGGAAAGAAATGAAAAGCAAAAAGGCCACTATACTCCTAGTAACAAATAAAAACTTCCCACCTGGAAAAGCAAAATGGATTTCTTTGTGTACTGTTATTTTGTGCAGCGCTACACAATAGTACAACTAAATGTGGCAAGCAGTAGAAATTGTGTGGGAACCCTACACTGATGTGTGTGTAACAACCCAGCAGGAGAAATCTCTCAAGTAAAAGAACTCTCAATCTTAATTACATAGTAAATCCTTGAATTCAGCTGTTGAAGAAGAAGAAACTCTTCTCTTGATATTCTCAGGTAGCGTATTGTTTAGTTTAACAAAAGAGTTTCCTTTGCAGTCTACAAATAATAACATCAACATTATTTTATTGTGTTCAGTTTTAAAAAGTAAGATATCAAATACAGTGTAAAAGAGGAAGCAGTGGTGTAGCCAAGAGGCCAGAAGAATGCATTTCTTCAACACCTTATGTCCCCATCAATCAGACTGCAGGATGTGGTGGGACAGCCTCAGTGGATATGAAGTGCACATCTGAATGTTGCAGAATCAGGCGGCACATATTGCAGTAGATGACTCACCCTGAATGTGTTTGCCCTTGCCTTCCATGGGAAGGTTGTTTTACACTTTTAATAACCAACTGCAATTGGCAAATCTCAAGTTATGTAAAACAAGTTCTAGAGTTTCTGAGAAACACTGAGCAATAATCATTTACATCATCATCAGACTTGGCTCTGACATGGACACAGGATCTCTGGGGGTGTGCTTTGGAGTCTGGCACTGGGGCGTTGGCAGCGGATCCTTTGAGACCTGTCAGATGTGAGGTGGGGCACTGGCACGTCCCATGGATGCTTAGTCAGATTGGGATCTGGGGAATTTGGAGGCCAGGTTGATGCCTTACACTCTTTGTCATGTTCCTCAGGCAATTTCTGAACATTGTTTGTGGTGAGGCATGGTGCGTGTTCTGCTGGAGGGGGGCCACTGCCATAGGAGTGTTATTGCCATGATGGGGGTACTTGGTCCGCTGCAGTGTTTGGATGAGTGAAGTGCTTCAAGTGGCATCCACATGAATGCCAGGACCAAAGGTTTCCCAGCAGAGCATGATATTGTAACGAGATGGTCAGTATTGTCCATGTCATCTGTCAGTGGTTTTAATGTTTTGGCTGATTGGTGTGTATAGTAATGTCACTTATTATATAACTATGGTAATATAATAGGTGACTTTAACTTCTACCACAGTATTTTAAGATATCTGTACTTTTACTTGAGTATGACTTTCAGGTACTTCATCCACCACTGTAAATGGATTCATTAGAGCACTGAGCCAGAGGCATGGCTGCAGGGGACTGACCCTCCGTGTTTCCCAGATGGCCTGAAATCTTTTTAAGCATAAAATGTGAATAAGATGATGCACAAAAACCTCAGGCTAACCTCCACTGCTTTATGCTCCCATCTCTTAGACTGCAGGATGTGGTGGGGCAGCCTGGTACACAATTGAAGTAGGTTATCCACCTTACAGCCTAATACACAATTCAACAGGTACAAATCTTTTTTTAAATTATTATTGCATATAACAACTTAAAACATTTTAACATAGGCCTGAGAATGCCTTAAAGTACACTTAGCAAGAGAACCTTAAAGGGGCAAAAAGCGAAATCATTTCACCGCTAGGTTTGTTGTTGTGCACTGCCTGTAGACCAAAACCGACCAAAACAAAGTGTGTCATGAGCCACACCTCCCTTTACCTCTGCTCTGCACCCCCCACCCCAATCACCTCGTCTGTGCAGCAGAGCACCGCAGCATCTCCACGGACTATTACATCCAGACGGTCCCGGTGTTTCTTCCGCAGGCTCCACTTCACTCAGCTTCACTCAGCTGCCCGATATACCCGCTGCTTCTTCCCACATTAACCTGAATAAAAAACCAGGGCTCAGTGCTCCGGTTGGATCCAAACGGAGAGCCGGGGCTAACGTTAGCTGGGAAGCAGCTGAGTGAAGTGGAGCCTGAGGAGGAAGTACCGGTTAGCCCCCGCTAGCTGGGAGGCTAGCGGAGGCTAATTGGCTGTGCTGGCAGCTGAGTGAAGTGGAGCCTGAGGAGGAAGCACCGGTTAGCCCCGGTTTCACTACAGGCAGATTCACTCGCCACAGGGGCGAGGAAATAAAACCTTAACAGCCAACTTAGTTTGGCTTAGTTTAGCAGTTAGCGATGTCTTTCACTCACTCTCGGTCTCTGCTGTGTTTAGCTATTTCCCTGCATTCCCGTTAGCGTTAGCACTAGTTGGCTGCCACGCTAACATTCCTACTCTTCGGCTCCGGCTCACGGAGAAGAGTAGGGACGTTAGCGTTAGCTCCTAGAGTTAGCACTTGAGCTACTACGGCTACTGGAGTAACTTACAGCTATGGAGCGCTTCTACCAGCTCTTCTAGTCACTGAGCCTCGCCTCCATCTCAGCAAATATATTACATTTATTACAGGTACCATCATCATTGAAGTAGTATTGGAATATAGGTGTGTTGCTTATGCATTTAAGACATAAACTGTGTGACATATATAATGGAAAATTACTGTGATGATTTGACTGATTGAAATGTGCTTGCTTTACAGAGTGGAGAAGTACAGAAGGAGAAGTATAGTGCTGTAACGGATGAGCTCACGTAATCACATGCAGCTAGAATAGATAATTATGACAATGTATGGCAGAAAGAATAGAACGTGTTGTATTCAGATAATTCTGCACATTGGGGGTAGGGAGATGTTGCTCTTGTCTTCTCATTACAGGAAGGCCAGCCCCAACAACTCAGATCAACACGAGGCAGCTGTGTAAGAGAATGAGGAAGCAGGCAGCGAGCAACCAATGAGAAGACTGAATCACGCCCGTGCACAATGACACTTTGTTACGCTTCAATATACTGGGTCAGGGAGAGACAGGAGGTCAGACTTCGTGAACTGACACACCTTTGTTGTTGGTCAGGGACGTGAAGATCAGACCCAGAGCTCTGTAACTTTATTCCTTTACTGCTTAATAAATCTACT